TGACTGGATATGATTTTGATGATATAAGTTATTGTTTACTGACTGGATATGATTTTGATGATATAAGTTATTGTTTACTGACTGGACATAATTTATGTCACTGACATGATATTAAGTTAATCTGGATTTTGAGGGTTTTATCAAAACAAGACTATCAAGCTCAGATACATTCTATCAAGCTCAGATACATTCTATCAAGCCGACACGTTCTATCAAGCTCAGATACATTCTATCAAGCTCAGATACGTTCAAGGTCAAGTTCAACTAGACAACCATAATAAAACTTAATTCTGCTGTGATGTGTAAAACAGGAAATTCTAACTCGAGCAATAATGTACTTTCAACATATGGTTCCAACTTTCCTATATATACCAAACAAATGGTATTGGTTATACTTCTCACCATTCATGTTTTTAATGTAAGTGAAATGTACTGAAAAGCCTAAAAGTGATGAAAATCTTCAGTTACTGGTTGAAATCATCAAGTTTGATATACATTGACATTTTATCACCTCTCTGCTCTTTCAGGGCTAGCCATTTTTGTAAGCACTGTTCAAATGCTAAATAAGTGGTCAGTATTTTGATATATAAGTAACAGACTGTTACCATGGTTACAGGAATACTGACACCCCAGCAACAGGCCCAGATGCAGCAGCAGCAGCAACAGCAACAACACCGACAACAGTTCATGCAGCAACAAATGTTACTACAACAGCAACAGCAGCAGCAACAACAACAACAACAGCAACAGCAACAGCAGCGCAACATGGCCAGCTTGCAGCAGCCACAACGACCCCCATTACAGGTCTGTGATCACAAGCTGACACCAATATGTCAGAGGTCAAGGTCAAAATAATGATCATTTCAATTTGTCAGGTCATTATCAAAGGTCACAAGCTACAGGTAACACCCGTAGGTTACAGGTCAAGGTCACAAACTGTCAGAGGTATGACCAATGTGTCAGTGGTAAAGGTCATAGTATAACACTCTTCTCTCAAGGTCAAGGTCACCAACTGTCGGAGGTATGACCAATGTGTCAGTGGTAAAGGTCATAGAGAAATTCAAGAAGTTTTTACTATTCAAACTTACCCTCCTGACATGTGAAATTAAATATTTTCTGTACTATCTATCTTTCACTAAACTGTTTTAATGTCATTTTGCAGACAACAAATTACACTGTAAAACCTAAAATCGGTGAATGATATCCAAGCTATAGAGAAAACTGCCGAGATGAGGTTGTCCTTGCCCATTGTCACCAGATTGTTCATTCATACATAAACTGTTCGTATTTACTGAAAAGCCAAGACCAGCCCCAATGCATAGTATGTCACAAACCATTTACAGTACAACACTTATTATTATATGCCCGTCGAAATTCGACAGGGGTGTAAAGGTATAGCGTCTGCGTCCGTCAAGTTTAGGTGCAAGTTTCTTCAGTGGTGTACAGTTCAGTCAGATCATGTGTTATTGTCCTAATTTTTGCCATGGATTTTCAAATTGGGTCTAAGAAGGACAATATGGATTTAATTTGGGAAAATAATTTCATTTTTGGAAATTTGGGACGTGTTTGGGACTTAAATTTTCTCTCGTAATTTCTCTGTTAAAGTTTCGGTGCAAGTTTCTTCAGTGGTGTACAGTTCAGTCAGAACATGTGTTATTGTCCTAATTTTCTTCAGTGGTGTACAGTTCAGTCAGAACATGTGTTATTGTCCTAAGTTTCTTCAGTGGTGTACAGTTCAGTCAGATCATGTGTTATTGTCCTAATTTTCTTCGTTAGTGTACAGTTCAGTCAGAACATGTGTTATTGTCCTAATTTTCTTCGGTAGTGTAGAGTTCAGTCAGAACATGTGTTATTGTCCTAATTTTCTTCAGTGGTGTACAGTTCAGTCAGATCATGTGTTATTGTCCTAATTTTCTTCAGTGGTGTACAGTTCAGTCAGATCATGTGTTATTAGTCCCCTACCGGTGAAACCGGGGGGACTATAGTTTTCCCCTCCGTCTGTCTGTCCGTCCGTCCGTCCGTCCGTCCGTCCGTCCGTCTGTCTGTCCGTCTGTCCGAAGAGGTTTGTCAGCACTCTAGAGCCTTCATTCTTTCATGGATTTTAATCAAACTTTACACACATGTAAAGAATTAAAATATCTTCAACAAGTTCGAGTTTCAAG